AAAATGCAGAGTGTTATTTTTGTTTAATTTCAGGATAAAGCCACAAGGTAGGATATACCCTTAAGGGGCATCCAAGATCAAGCTTATTTGAAAAGAATATTGTAGAGAATTTATGTGCGTGCATGCGTGTGTGTGCGTGCGTGTGTGTGTGTGTACACATATGCATACCCTATGGATAATGACCAGCCTGCAGACTGTGACTTGTTTTAAGAGTTTGTCATTTCCATCTCAGCCCATTAATCCCATGAAGAAGGAAAGGTAGTGCAGTGGAAAAACTGCTGAGTCAAAATACTGCTGTGTGATTCTTATGATCTGTCCTGCTTGCCTCCCAGGACTGTTATGAAGCTCAAATGATATGCTTCTTGTGCAAGTCCCCCAATTACCTCCTTTCTCAAGAATAGCTATTTGATGACTTTCAATTAAGAAGTACATTTAAAACATTTTGAAAGCATTCTTTATCTGTCACTGAAGCAAACCAGATTGATTTCCTTAGTCCAGCACCAAAATATTTGAAAATGGTTTCAATTTATGTGTATGGTATGTCCATCCTGATTGTGACTACAATAACCCTATTAACAAGGAACAGTGTCCTGTAGACATCGTCCTGAATATGCACACTACCTAATACAGATGCGTACTTTACTACATATGCCACATATAACACAGAGATAAATGAAAATACATCTTACAGAGTCATTTCAGCTCCAACGTTGCGTGTTCCATTTCTAGGATATAGGCTGCTTCTGTGCAATAATCAGCTTTTAATTGATCACATTTCGTAAGTGTATAATTAGAACTGCTTAAAAATATGGTAGGGTGTGTAAGCCTGGTTCGTATCTTAAGCCCTCAAACATACTCCTTTTGGCTTTTGCAGTTGCTCTGGGTGCTGTCTAACTACTCTCTCACTAAAAGTGACTGAGAAGCAGAGACCTGGGATGTGACCACAGGGAAAGACGAGCAGAGCCAACCCTACTGAGCCCCCAGAGGAAAGTCTGTGCTAAACATTCTTACTCCTCTCATGCAATGGAGAGGGTATGGTCTTGTGTGAACTTTCTGCCTCACGCTATGTAATACTTACTTGATAGGGTAAGGTAATTTTCTAGTTGTTTCAATAAGACAAAATCAAAATGACCAGAGAGAGATTCTAGAGGACATGGTGTATGCAGGCACACTTACCATGATTACTATGTTTGGGGAACTGGGGATTCTCCTTCAATGATTAAAGTCTGACATATCATAAATGAAAAAAAAAAAAAAAGATGATTATGTTACAGAACATAACCTCTGTCTTTGACGGAGACAATGGTCTGTGCTCAGTCATCTTTCCGGCCCACAGCCTTCCTCTCTTCGACCACCTCATACTGAGCTGGGGCAGCGTAACTGTGTTCACCAAAGGTGACACAAGCCACAGCCAGGCCTGGCCTTTACAAACATGCAGTGCCACTTTTTACAGTAACCTTTTTTCCGCTGCTGACTCAACATGTTCCCAATTGGCTTGGATATAAAATGGAGGATACTGCCCAAACCACACCAGATTTTCCATGAATGAGAAAAAAAATTAAGCTTAATCTCAGTTAAGCCTCTGAGATTTGGGGGTTAATTATCACTGCAACATACACAGGGTAGATTAGTACCCTGGCCAACCGACAACAATAAAAAAAAAAAGCTAGAAAAAAATTAAAGGGAATCTTTCAAAATGCATCAAACATCTTTTTCTTTTTTTCAAAGAATATTCAAAAGCCAAAAACTAAGTTTTGATTGAAAAAGAACACCAATCTACCTTTCACCTTACAGGCATTTGATTTTTACCAAATCAGGTGAACTTGAGTTTCAGGTGCTTAGGCCTCCAAGTATGGAAGGTCATTAGGAGAGCAAGCCTGAGCAACGTAGGAGTGTAAAAGGAGACTGCACCACTTCAGCGGAGATTCTCAGAGAAAAGACGAATACAAAGGATACCCCCAAGTGAATGCTAGGAAAACTGTCCAGCCAAACCTTGCTTAAGAAGAGGAACAAGTCTTCCTTGGGCATCTGTAATTGGAAGTCAAACTCCCAGCAGAATTAGCTTCAAAATACATACCACCGAGATGGTCCAAAAAAGTCTCAAACGAAAGGTCCTAAGTTATTAGTGCCTATAAATAACTGGGTTGGAAGTCCACTCTAAATTCTCCTTGGACTCACTTTTAACTCCTTCTATAAGTAATTCCCACAGGTAAAGTTCCCAGAAATATGAGGTCATAGCTAAAAATCACAAAATACGGAATGAATCAAGGTTACAAAATAGAAAAGCAAAAGAGAACATAAAAGACAGATGACCTATAAAGTCTGCAGATATCAGAATTTTTCTAGACTATAAAGGAAGTAGGACAATTATGTTTTAAGAGTTTTTAAAATGTGAGTAAAGGGAAAGCTTGTAAGAGAGATGAATCATGGCAGGAATAGCCTTTGCTACTGAAAGGATGAGTTTAGTAGCAAAACAGAACAGCTAAAGCAGAAGAGTGAAGTGGATTGCAGAGGCAATGAGGAACTTCAGAATGTAGCCCAGAGAGATTAAGACAGAAAATACAAGAGACAAGTTCTGAGATATATATGATACAATTAGAGGATCACATATATGCTTAATTGGAGTTGCAGAAGAAGGGAGAAAGAAAATGGGGGATGAGACAATATTTGAAAACATAATGGTTGAGAGTTTTCCAAACTGAGGACAGACAGCAATCTATAGATGGAGGAATTCCAAGAAATCCCAAGCTGAATACATTTTAGGAAGTCTACAATTATTCAAAGAAGATACAAAATACCACAGATAATGAAAAGATCTTAAGAGCAGAAGTCATTTTTAGATGTGGTTTTTGCTATCAGTTAATCTTCCAATTTTACTTTGCAAAAACCATTGTACCCCATCTAGTTATCTCTTAGCCAGAGTATTTACATAGAGACAAGTTTTAGTTGACTATTTTAGCATTCGCAGCATCATAAAATCATTATAAAACAATAAAGCTCAACGCTTCACAACGGTAGAGAGTTTCACGCTTCAGAACCTATTGGGAAAGTACAGGTATTTAATAAACATCTAATTAGAAATCTAAGAAGCATATCTGTGCATGTCAGACTGCTAACTGAAATCTTCTAATGACTTCCCATAGCTTATGGCAAACAAGTTCACACTGTAGTATGTAGAGTTCAAGGTTCTTCAGAGGTAGGATCCAAAGTAGTCTTCTGAGTCTGATCTTTCAATAGTTTCCATATGGCTGCTCAGAATTACCTGTAGATGCCATAACATGCCCTTCAGCTCTATCTTTCTTTAGTGGCTCCTTCTAACTGGAATGACTTTCCCATCATCTTCAATAGCAGACATCCACTCATCCTTCGAGATTCTGCTGAAATGTAAGCTCAACACAATCTATGTTCCATGAAAGGAAGGGTTTTTTTTTGTTGTTGTCATTGTTGCTTGCTGCTGTATCCCTAGAAAAGTACCTGACATATAGCAGGTACTCAAGAAATATTTGTTGGGAATTCCCTGGTGGTCCAGTAGTTAGGACTCCAGGCTTTCACTGCCGAGGGCCGGGGTTCAATCTCTGCTCAGGGAACTAGGATCCCACAAGCCGTAGAGCAGGCAAAAAAAAAAAAAAAAAAAAATTTGTTGAATTAATTAAGTAAATAAAATGTGAGCGCCTCTGTGAAGCATTTCCTTACACACCCATGACCAGATTATATAATCTTTCATCATCTTTATGTACTAACCTTTTGACCTTGCTTTATTCTGTGTTTTATAAATGTCTTCTTCACTAGACACATACTAGAGAGTAAAGAACACGTTACTATTTCTGTTTAATCTTCAATTGCCCAGCAGTGCAACAGGTAGGTAGCAGGCACTCCGTAACTCTTTGTTGACCAAATAAATGGACACTATGGAGTCTGAAAACCGAATTCTTCAGCTTCGTTTTCGCACCTCACAGGAAGTATTCCAGAAAGCAACAAAGCCACGCAATGCAAAGAGCCAGAACAAAATGCACAACTGGCTGAACGACGGTAAGCATGCATGCCATGTTAACCAAACAACAGTTTTCAGGTAATGACAGGCTACAGATGATGGACAGCAGAGGGACTGAAAGCAAAGCTGTAAGCAGCACATTGCAGTGACAGGCAAAAAAGAAAAAAAACAAACAACTGTCCACTGTCTTTAAAAAATGTTGCCCAACATGGGCTTCCCTGGTGGCACAGTGGTTGAGAGTCTGCCTGCTGATGCAGGGGACACGGGTTCGTGCCCCGGTCCGGGAAGATCCCACATGCCGCGGAGCGGCTGGGCCCGTGAGCCATGGTCGCTGAGCCTGCGTGTCCAGAGCCTGTGCTCCGCAACGGGAGAAGCCACAACAGTGAGAGGCCCGTGTACCGCAAAAAAAAAAAAAAAAAATGTTGCCAAACAATCATTTTTCAAACTGAAATACACTCATCAACCTCATAAAACATGTTTATATAATAAGAATTCTGTTCTAAGCACTACACTGATAGAAAATTTCCTTGATGTTTATCATTGGAAATGAATGACATCATCATGAGAGTGAAATTAACAACCAAGCAACTTATGAACAGTAAAAGCTCAAGACTAAGTGCTTAACAAAATCAAATACAGTTTCCAATTATAACGACAACACTGAAAATATACCAGAATTCCACGTGTAATGTTTGCCAAGCTTTGTGCTTTCTCTGCTGAGATTAATCTCAAGTGGCACTCACATTCAGCTGCTCAAAATGCAAAAATGTTAAATTTAATTCTTAGTGTCAATTTAATTTAAAAACTTTTTTTTTTGTTTTGTTTTGTTTTTCTGAGTACAATGAGGCTTCTCCTCCACCTGTTTCCCATTTAGCCACAAGTAATCAAACACCTCAACTTCACTCACAGTTCAAATACATAAATGGGGCACATGTTTTCTCCTTGTGTACGAAAATGTTACAGGTTTTGTGGAAGCAAAGCGCTGACACTGTATTTAATCCTCACTTACCGGCTGGAGCAGATAGATGAGAGACTCCTCTTGGATTATTATAATTGGCAAAGGAGTGATTCGAGTTGCTTGGAACAAAGTGCTCACTGACGCCATAATCTGGTCAAAACGTCCAGCAAGTCCTCCCAGGGTCACAATCATATCTACCTAAGAAAGCAAAGGAAAACCAGCAGTCACATATTTAAGGACTTTTAAAAAATAAATAAATAAAATAATTAAATAACATCAAACACTTCCATAGAGCTTTCAGTACCCTATTTTATTAGATACGCCATGAAGAAATGGCAGACATCATTTGTGTTGTTCAGATGAAGGAATTAAGTCACAAGATTGGTGAGTGGCAGTCAGGTTTCAATAGGTTTTCCCATCTGCCTATTCACCTGGAAAACTAGCCAACTCGCCCTTTAAAACTCTGTTCCATGTCCCTTCCATGTGGAAGTCTTCCTGATTTCACAATTGGTGCCTCTCCCATCCACTCCTCACAGCATCCCTGTGGGCACTTTGATCACCCAACAGTGAGTGAGCCCCCACTAGAACCTAGGTATCTTAAGGACCGATACTGGCTTTTCACCAAACCTAGTAAGTTGCCTAAACTCTCTGTACCTCATTTTTATGTTTACATGTAAAAACTGGATAATAATTACCAATTGAGAGGGTTGTTGGGGGGATTAAATGAGGTAACTAAATGGGTCAATAAGTGCAAGACATTTAAAACATGTTCACAACACAGTGATTGTTTAAAAAGTGTTAGCTACTCATCTATTGTATTATTTTCAGTATATTACATTTATATTACTATTTTTATTATTGGTACATGTCGTTTGGTATGTTCTTTCTTTTCATTTAACACCTTAAGCAAAGCATTTCCTATGACTACAGTATAGTTTATTTAAATGTTCCCCTGTTGTTGAAAATACATTTCCATGCTATTTGTATATAAAATTACTGTGATGCTTTCCTAACATATGAGACAATGGTTAAAGAACGGCTGCAGGGCAGTGGAAGGGGGCAGAGTAACAGTCTCCTCCTGCCTAAGGCAGGTGGCCCAAGGTCTTAAGGAGAATGAAAAAGAGGCACTGCCTGGTCTCTTTCCTTCTGCTGGTCAGCCTGGTCTTGTGATGCACCAGCAGAGTCAAAGCTGGTATACTGATCATGAAAAAGGAAAGACAGAAGAGCTTAATTAAATTATTATAAGAAAACCTTACATACAATAAAAAGTGACAGTTATACTCACTCTACCTGGAATAAAATAGAAATTATTTACAGATAGGAAGCATTTGGCTTTTAGTTTTAGTTTAGTTTTTTTTTTTTGCGGTACACAGGCCTCTCACTGTTGTGGCCTCTCCCACCGCGGAGCACAGGCTCCGCACGCGCAGGCTCAGCGGCCGTGGCTCACGGGCCCAGCCGCTCCGCGGCATGTGGGATCTTCCCGGACTGGGGCACGAACCCGTGTCCCCTGCATCGGCAGGCGGACTCTCAACCACTGCGCCACTAGGGAAGCCCCTGGCTTTTAGTTTTAAAACAGTACATTTTAAAAGCTCAGATAACATTTAGTCTGAAGAAGGCATGATTTTAGAAGAGTAACATATCACCCAAGCACCGGTATAACCTGTTCAGTCTCTAGAGGAACAGTAAGTGGCTTAAGCTCCATAAGGCCAAAGGCTGTGCTTCTCTGGTCCACAGGCTGTGGCCCTGGTCCTCTGCATAGTGCCTAACATGTACAAGACCTCAAATGTTTGATGAATGAATAAGTGAAGACACTTCAAGAAAGAACTAGTCAGCCTAAGGAAGAAAGAGATTAATCGCCATACTACAGGAATATATAAATCAGAATGGGATTCCATAAAAACATAAAAAAGTAAACTACACAGAAAAATTAAGAAATTTGGAATGAGTTTCCTATTTTTGACCTTTTCAGAGTATAGGAATTTTTATTTTGAATAAGATGCTTCAGGTCAAAGCTAGAATATTTTAAGACAAGTATACCACACATCTAGAGGACCTAAAGTTTTCTTTGGCGATCTTTTTAGAACTCCGAGCATTAGATTTGAGGCAGAGAAAGGCCATGCACTCTAGGAAGCATGTATTACTCCTAATACACAGGTGAGGACTGGGACACCTTAGTCTTCAGAGGAAACTTACAAACCTTTGTTTGGGGTTATCAAGTCTGGTAATCGCTCCTGGTCGTGTTTAGGAAACCTTATTAGTAAAGCCACTCCAGACTGGAGGGGAAAAGGCCCAGACATTATACAGGACCTCAGAAGAACTAAAGAGAATTTGCTTTACACTGAAGAGAAAGACACTAAGTGAAGTTATATATGAAATATAAAGTAGAGAAAGTTCTAAGGCTCTGGTAAAAAGCACATGGCACGGTCCTATCTACATAATCCTAAATTCATATCAGAACCAAGGCCTGATGATAAAATAGTTGATTCACTATGCAGATTCTGGAATCCTTTTTGTAGGTTCTCAATTTTTCATTACTATACTCCAAGCCTTGGGGGATCCCATAACCTTTAAGGCTGAAACTTAATCCACATCTTCCACACCGGGATATCATGATGAATCAGCAATATCTGTAAACCAGTCATTGAATTTTTCAGAATAAAGAAGCAGCGAGATTACTTCTCATCACTACTCATTTTCCCTACAGGAAATGTTTATATCCAGACTGATTAAAAACATTAGAGGATCAGTGCAAGCTGCAGTGGGCGCAGAAGCCAGCCCAGGGCTATTTCTGTAGTTCTTTAGTTCTGGTTAGAAGTAGGACATCTGGGGCTTCCCTGGTGGCGCAGTGGTAGGGAGTCCGCCTGCCAATGCAGGGGACACAGGTTCGGGCCCCGGTCCGGGAAGATCCCACATGCCGCGGAGCGGCTGGGCCCGTGAGCCACGGCCGCTGAGCCTGCGCGTGCGGAGCCTGTGCTCCGCAACGGGAGAGGCCACAACACAGTGAGAGGCCCACATACCGCAAAGAAAAAAGAAAAAAAGTAGGACATCTGATATTCACCAACCCTGTATATTTACATAGGCTTTGCAAGCCTAGATTTGTGCCTTTAGGACAGCAACGCCCCTGGGAAAGAGTGTTCAATCGAAAGCAGGCTATTTACAGACTGCCAGGATACCTTGTCTACCTGGATGCAAAGCCCTGTGCATTTCCTTCTTACGTTACCCCGCGTATTGTACATTTTTAAAACATGGTATTTTCTGGTCGCCTCAGCATCCCCACGAACGGGCTGTAAGTGCCTGGCCAAGTTCCCCTTTGTGCCCTCCTCTGACTGACCTAGTGACATTCAAACACACCAGTGACAGCTTCTCAAGCTTTTGCTTGTGTCCACACCCAGACCCCCCAAAAGGCACTTGCTCACGGGTCCTCGTTCTCTCTGCTGGCTCCCCCCCTGCCTGGTTAAGCTCACACCCTGCGCCCTCCCCCCACGAGGCCCCTACATGGCCCACTGCATGCCCTCCTCTCTAGGATCTGTGAGCATTACAGCCCTTTAATTCCACACGCCTCTCCTTGGTGCCAACTCCGCATCTGCATGTGTCTGCACCAGGCTGACCAACGAAACCCACCAATTACTCCTTACAGCACACCCAGTTACACTTTGTTACGACTGGTGACGTACTTGTGTATCTCTCCATCTAGAGGAGGCCTAGGAATCACAGACGCCAGCCGCAGCGTGTGCGACAAGGCAGACAGCAAGCATTTACTGAGCTTCCCCGAAGCATAGAAAATCAGGGAAAATTGAATAAATAACCAGAGAGGCAAGAAGCTGATTACTAGGCTGAGTTAATGTCGTCTAAATCTTACAGAACAGTGCTTCCCTACTTGGCAAGGATTCTAACAGTTAGTAGCTTTTGAAAAGAATAACTTATTTCACATGTGTTACCCCGGGTAGTGTTTATTGATCATTTACCATGTGTTAGCTACTACTCTGAACACTTAGGATAGATCAGTAAACGCGACAAAAACTTCTGCCTCCATGGAATTGATATTCAAATGGAGGACGATACATGTATAACCGAATCACTTTGCTATTCACCTGAAACTAACACAACATTGTTAATCAACTATACTCCAATATAAAATAAAAATTAAAAATAAATTAATTTTAAAAACAGATGGAGGACAACACGCAATTAATAAAAATAGAAAATAAGTATATTAGTTGGGATGTGAAAAGATGGCGAGTCCTAGAGGGGAATAAGAGAGTAGGAAAAGAGAGATGAAAAATGCTAGGCTGGGAAGAGCTTCCACTTCAAACAAGAGAGCCAGGGCAGGCTCCATCAGAAAGGTAAGAGAGGAGCAGCAAAGACCTGAAGGAGATGAGGGAGCCAGTCAGGTACAGACACCTGGAGCCAGACCCATCAGAAAACAGACTGTAGTAAGGCCCTGAAGCAGTGACATGGCCCCAGGCATTTTCAAAGAATGTCAGGAGGCTAGTCGTGAGAACTGAATGAGAAATTAGTAGGAGGAATCATTAAAATCTAAATGCTAGATCTGTATAGAGCCTTGGTAAGCCATTGTAAAGTCCCGACTTTTATTAGCATTAAGTGGAAAGCCATTTTGAGCAGAGGGGTGACACGATGTATGTATTTTTAAAAGTCACCATGCTGGGTGTCTGGAGAACAAACTGTGTGGAGGCAAAGAAGAAATCCAGGAGATCGTTAAGAGATCAGCACAGTAATACAGACGAGAGACAACTTTGCTAGCCCCAACACTTCACCAAAAACTATCATCAGTGACATCCTATTGCAAAACCCAATGGTCAGTTCTCAGTTCTGACATTATTCGATCCATCAGCAACATCTGACAAGTTTATTCTTACCTCCTCCTGGATGAAGTCTCTTCCAGAAAGATGGGCTTCCAGCAAACCATACTGCCTTGATCTCACTGGTTGTGTCTTCTCAGGAACAAACTTAACATCTCTGGAGTGGTCCAGAGCAAGGTCCTTAATTCTATTGTCATTACATCCCCTCCCTTGGTGTTCCCAGGCAGCCTTGTAGCTTTAAATACCATCAATGTCAGCACTTCCTCACTGTGTATCTTCAGTCCAGACCTCTCTCCTCAATTCTAGCCTCGTATATTCAATTGCTTACTTGACATCTGCATTTGGAATCCAATAGAGATCTCCAAGGTTCCATGATCT